GCAGGAGAGCCCGTCTCCAGAGAGCGAAGCCAGCCAGGTGACCCACAAAATTGCCGAAGTCCCTGCTGGGGCCGTTCTGCTCCCAGCCCAGCACCAGCGAGCCCCCAGCGGGAATTTCATAGCCCTGCTGGAAGCCGGAGCCGGCGGCCAGCAGCCGCCTGTCCACGTAGAAGCGGTACCGGCCCTGGCTGGAGGACCAGGTGAGGCACAGGTGGTGCCACTCGCCACCCAGGAGCGGCTGCACCGGCAGCTCCCGGAACTGCCCGTCCCCCAGGATGAAGCGTGCGGAGCCGGGGACATCCCCGCCACGGCCACGCAGGGCCAGCTCGCTGCGGCCCAACTGAGTGGAGTAGGAGAGGAGGGCACCGAGGCGGGGGGCTGGAGTGGCCAGCCAGGAGCAGAGCGACAGTGCCCGCAGCCCCCGGTGTGGCCCCAGCGCCAGGACAGCCCCGTGCCCCGCGGAGGTGTTGGGGAAGAGCAGCACGGCACCGGCCCGGCAGGCAGGGGAGGTGGGCACAGGGGAAAGGGGGCCGTACCTGCCCTCCTCTGGCTGCTGGAGGGCTGGGGGCTGCTCTCGGGGGACCGTAGTCACGGGGGGGAGCACCGGTGCCGTGGGCTGGGGTGCCGGTGCTGCATCATGAGGGATCTCTGCGTGTTCCGTGGGTTCTCCACCAGGCCTGGCATCAGCCGGCAGCCAGTGCCCTTCCTCCTGCCGGCGCTGCTGCCACCGCCTCGTCTTTGGGCGCCGAGGGCTGGGGGTGCTGGGGGCAGCCTGGCGCGATGGCTCCTGCTTCAGGTGGCTGTCCCGGCTCCGGGCAGTGTCCAGCAGGCCCTGTGGCTTAGTGCCAGTCTCCACCGGTGCACCTGGTGGGTGGGCGGCCGGGCGGTGCAGTGGGCTCAGGGCACTCACTGTCCCCTCCAGCCGCTTCAGCCGGCGGTGCAGCCGCCGGCCAGTGGTGGCCAGACGGGCCAGCTCGGCACCCAGGGCGGCCCGGGCAGCGACAGCCGCCTCCGCCAGCTCCGCCAGCTCCTGGAAGCGCCCATCGATGTTATAGGAGATGTTGTAGTTGCTGGCGATGCTCTGGAGATGGCTCAGCGTCACCTCCTGGAGCCGGAGAAACTGCAAGGGAGTGGGATGGGGTGGGGTGAGCCCACATCCCCATGCCGGGTCCCTGCCAAACCCAAAATGCCCAGTGCCCCGCTGGCACAGGCTGGGCAGCACCTCCTCCCCTCCGCTGCACCCACCTGCTCTTCCAGGCGCCGCAGCCGCAGGATCAGGGGGCCGGGACCGGGGCGCGCCAGGGGTCCCGGCGCCTGGGTCAGGCCATCCTGCAGGGTGACAGCGAGGATCAGGCAGAGGGGCAATGCCATCCCCGCCATCCCACTGCCGGACGCTTTCTGCCTGCGCGGCACGGTCGTCCCTGGCCCCCGTGGTGCCCCCCCGGGGCAGCCCCCACCATGATGAGATCTGCAGCCACCGCTGGCACGGCCCTGCACCGGGACTCCCAGCCCCCGGCCCCGGGCCAGCGCTCTGCGGGGGCGGCTGGCCACGGCCCAGGGCTCCCGCGGCTCCGGCGTTCCGAGCAGGGAACAGGCAGGGGCTGCTGGGCTGTGGGGTGAGAGAAGGTGTATGGGGACCCTGGGCACATGGCTGGATGCAGGGCAGGGAGGACGGGGAGGCAGTGCAGGCAGGACAGAGGTAGAATGGTGCAGGCATTGCTGGCACGGTAGGGCGGTGCAGGCAGGACAGTGCAGACAGTGTGGGCAGGCAGAGCAGTGCAGGATGGGCAGGGCAGGCTGCTAGAGGCAGGCAGAGAAGGTAGAGCAGTGCAGGCAGGTAGGGTAGGGCAGAACAGTGTAGGCAGAGCAACGCAGGCAGTGCAGGCAGTGCAGACAGGGCAATGTAGGCAGTGCAGTCAGTGCAGGCAGTACAGGCAGGGCAGTGGTGTCTGTGCAGTCTGTATGGGCAGTGCAGGCAGTACAGGCAGGGCAGGCAGGGCAGTGGTGTCTGTGCAGTCTGTATGGGCAGTGCAGGCAGTACAGGCAGGGCAGGCAGGGCAGTGGTGTCTGTGCCGTCTGTATGGGTAGTACAGGCAGGGCAGGCAGGGCAGTGGTGTCTGTGCCGTCTGTATGGGTAGTACAGGCAGGGCAGGCAGGGCAGTGGTGTCTGTGCCGTCTGTATGGGTAGTACAGGCAGGGCAGGCAGGGCCACCACGTGGGGGCAGCACGTGCGCGCAGCAGCACCAACTGTGGGCGGAGCTTTCAGTCAATGGGCGGTGCCTTCACTGCAGTGGGCGGGGCCTCAAACTCGGCACTGCCGGGCCGTGTGCTGTGGGCGGGGCCGTCCCAAGCCCCGCCCCTCACGCATCGCCCCGCCCATCGCCCCGCCCCGTACCCTTGAGCCGCGGCAGAAGATGGCGGCGGCGCCGACCCTGGCCCGGCGGATCGCCCGCTCAGGTGCGCCCAGACCCCGCCCTACCCGGGCCCTGCCCCGGCCTCGGCCTGGCCCCGACACCTTCCTGTGGCCCCCGCGCCGCCAGGATACCCCCCACTGTCACTCCGTGGGTGCCCCACGTGTCCCCCTGCCGCGGGTGTCCCACATGTCCCCTGCTCTGGGTTGGGGTGCCCCTACATCCTTCTTCAGCGGGTCATGGTGTTCCCCATGTCCCCCATCATGGGACGGGGTGTCCCTCTATCCTCCCTCAGTGTGTCAGGGTGTCCCCATGTCCCACCTTGTCCGTGCAGAGCGGCTTTGGGGAGCGCGCCCCACACCCGTGGGGGCCGTGCCCTACCTGTCCCTACCTGTCTGTGTCCCCCAGGTGTGCTGTCCCTGTGCTGCCGGCCCCCATCGTGGGACAGGGCCGCCCGGCAGCTCCCGCTCGCCCCATGCCGTGCCTTCAGCAACAACAAGATCCAGGTGGATCTGGACGAGAGCTCAGGTACGGTGGTGCGTCACCCGCGACCCATGGGCACCGTGGGGTACTTCCATCCCTGTCCCATGCGGCCCTGGGCATGGAAAGCCACCAAAGCCCCAGGTGTTCCAGCTGCAGCTGCTTGAAGTGTTTGGGGTCAGGAGCCTTGCTGAGTGTGGGCCCTTCGCATGGCTGGTGCTGCTGGGGTGCCACAGGCCAGCCCTGGCTGTCACCGTCCCCTCTGAGGGGTTCCTGCTCTGGGCACCTGGTAGAGTGGCAGTGCTCCTTCAGGGAACAGCTGTTGGGAATTTCTGCTACCAGGAATAGCTGTCACGAGACCACGGTCCCTGCACTCAACAAAGGTGCCTCTTCTTGTGGCTTCCCAGCTCCTGCCTTCAGGCCCGTAGGTGTGTCTTCACGCCGTGCCCATCCTGGGCATGGCATGGCATGGCTGCAGCACCCAAACTATGCATTTGGGGAGGAGCTTTTGGGGCAGGGTAGGGCCGTCTGGGAGTGGACAAGGGCTCAGAGCCCTTCCCGTGGTGCTGGCAGGCTCAGTCAGGTTTGTGATCCCCCGGGCAAGGCTGTTTACTGGGACAAACATACAGGCTTGACCTTACCTGTTGAGCCCAGAGAGAAGGGAAGTGTCGAGCAGCGTGACCCCGAAGGGCTTTGGGACACGTGAGGTGCCACCACACATGTCCTGGTCTGTGCTCCAGGTCCACCACTGGCTGAGTGAGCCCAGCTCACTGGGCAAAAGCAGGACCTTGCCCTTGGCCCTGCAGCTCTGGGAGCTTTTTAAAGAGCCAGGAGTGGGAAGACACGATCAGATGAGCAGGGAAACAGGGAGGCAGGTGAGGCTGCCCTAGGCAGGGCATTGTGTGCTGCTGTGCTGGGCAGTCTGATATCTCTGCGTTAACCCTGGCACAGGCGTTGCCATGATGAAGTTCAAGAGTCCCCCGGTGAACAGCCTGAGCCTGGACTTCCTCACTGAGTTTTCCATAAGCCTGGAGAAGTTGGAGAACGACCGTGCCTGCCGGGGTGTGATCATTACATCCGTAGGTGTTGTCCCTTGCTCGTGTTTGGTCTCTGGGGTCACTGGTCACTGGGACAGGAGGGCCCGGAGGCAGCTTTGATTGGCTCTGGGAGGAGGGGAGGAGGTTCTGGGAAGGGCTGTGATCTTCCTTCTGTGCCCCCTTCTGGCAGAACAACAGCCAAGTGTTGTCATTTGTCATGCAAATTAAATCTGCTTATCTACCAACCTGACACATCCCGTGAGATCTCCTGGAGGAGATGCCAGTGTTTGTTTTCAGACACGTGTGGGGACGAGGTGGTGCCTGGGAGTGGGACAGGGCAGGTTTTGTGCTGTGTGGCTGATTGTACCCACACAGGGACCCTGACAGTGAGAAATCGTGCTGCAGGCAGAGTCCCAGCACTGCAGGCCGTGGTGGTGGGATGATCCAGGCTGTGGGAGCACCGGGGAGATACTTTCAGAACTCCAAAAGACCCTCATATCACATATAATTATCACTTTCCTCAGGCTGTCACGCCGAGGGCTAAAGGCTGATAGCGACTCTAAGGGATGTCTGTATTTTCCCAACTCCAGGCTATCCCCAAAATATTCTCCTCTGGCCTGGACATCATGGAGATGTGTGGGAAGAACGTGGAGCACTACGGCGAGTTCTGGAGAGCCGTGCAGGAGATGTGGCTGCGGCTCTACGGCTCCAACATGGTCACGATCGCTGCAGTCAATGTATGTCCTTTGGACCCACCTCCCTCGTCACCTGTCACCTGCTGCGGCTTGTTTGCACCATGTGGGCCGGGACAGCCAAAAAATCAGGCTGAAACAAATCCAAAAAATGCTTTTGTTGGGGCGTTTGGGCGAAATTCGTGTCTGTCAGCGTGCGGGGTGTGGGAAGGTGTGGAAGCGTGGGATGCTGCAGGCACCGTGTAAGCTGCAGACACTGCTGGGGTATAACAGCACTTCAGCACTTCCACCAGGTTTTGCTCCTCCAGCTGTGGTTCTTGGCCAGCAGGGAAGTGCTGTTGGAATCTTGGTGTCCGTGGATGGGTCGTTACATGTTTGGTGTCTTCTTTTCATTTTCCAGTGCGGTGCTGCCCTGGCAGCTCCCGGTGGTGTCTGTCCACAGCCCGTCTTTGAAGGCAG